AGAATGAAAATACGCTCAGGTGTTTTTTTCATTTTTTCAAAATTCACTTCCGGTCGTCAGTTATGTCCGATTTTCGCTTTTTTCAAAAAAGTTTTGTCCGAGTCATATCTCATAAACGGTAAAAGATGAAGACACCAAACTTATATGAGTAATAGATCTTGATAATTAGGCAAAACCAATCGGGTTAACATCGTGCGCCGTCACTTCCGGTCGTCACAGGAAGTGATCAAAGAAATCGAAAATTTCAACTTTTTATTTTTTGAAACTTTTTTGCATCACATTATAGCATCTTGTTTGTAGTTTCGAAATATATCAGTCTCACTGGAAACAAAAACGACAACTTCCGGTTATAAGAGAAGAACTGCATATTTTCAGTATTTTTCTCTCCCATAAATATTTTTTATGCGTAATGTATTTGAAATGGTTTCTAGATATGTTATTCAGACTGCAAATGTCTACAGTAACGTCAAATATCCTTGTAAAATTTACTTCCGGTCGCCTGGTTTCCTGTCCTCAAAATGAGAAGTTATTATAGCTAGATCTCGTAAACGGTAAGAGATAAAGACACCAAACTTAAAGGAGAGATAGATCTTGATGAGTATGCAAAAACAATTTGGATAAGATTGTTCGCCGTCACTTCCGGTCGTCACAGGAAGTGATCAAAGAAATTAAAAAAATCAATTTTTCTTTTATGAAACTTATTTTGCATCAAATTAAAGCATCTTCTTTGTAGTTTTGAAATGTAGCAGTCTCACCGGAAACAAAAACGACAACTTCCGGTTATAAGAGAAAAACTGCATAGTTTGAGCATTTTTCTTTCCTATAAATATCTTTTATACAAAAACCATTTGTAATGATTTTTGGATATGTTATATAAACTGCTAATGTCTACAGTAACTTCCAATATCTTTATGAAATTCACTTCCGGTCGCGTGATTTCCTGTCCTCAAAATGAGAAGTTATCACAGCTAGATCTCAAAAACGGTAAGAGATTAAGACACCAAACTTATGAAATAATAGATCTTGATAAGTTGGGGAATTCCTTGTTATAAGATTGTTATAAGATTGTCCACCGTCACTTCCGGTCGCCACAGGAAATGATAAAAGAAATCGAAAATTTCAACTTTCCTTTTATGCAACTTTTTTTGCATTACTTTTTAGCATCATATTTGTAGTTTTGAACCATATGAGTCCTACCGGAAACAAAAACGACAACTTACAGTTATAAGAGAAAACCTATATGATTTGAGTATTTTTCTTTCCCATAAATACTTTTTATAGATAAAGTATTTGAAATGATTTTTGAAGAAGTTAATCAGACTGCTTATGTCTACAGTATCATCCAATATCTTTGCAAAACTCACTTCCGGTCGCGTGATTTTTTGTCCTCAAAATGAGAAGTTATCATATCGAGATCTCGAAAACGGAAAGAGAAGAAGACACCAAACTTAAAGGAATACTAGATATTGATGAGTGGGCAAATCCAATTGGATTACAGCTGTCACTTCCGGTCGTCATAGGAAGTGATCAAATAAATCGAAAATTTCAACTTTTCTTTTTTGAATCCCTTATGGCATAACAGTTTTGCATCTTATTTGCTGTTTCGAAATATGTCGATCACTCCCACCGGAAACAAAAACGGCAACTTCCGCTAATATGAGAAAAACAACGTAAATTTGAGTATTTTAATCTCCAATAAATATCTGTTATAGAAAGAGAATTTGAAATATTTTTAGATATATTATTCAGACTGCTACTGTCTATAGTAAGGTCAAATATCCTTGTAAAATTTACTTCCGGTCGAAAGATTTCCAGTCCTTAAAATAAGAAGTTATCATAGCTTGATCTCGAAACAGTAATAGTTCAAAAAACCTAACTGATATTATTAATAAACCTAGAGGAGTAGGAAAAAGATATAAGATTAAATGCATCAGCATTCTGGTTTAAAGAGATAACATCTTTATTTCGATGTTTAACTTTCCCATAAATATCACTTATAGCCGAAGTATATATATATATATATATATATATATATATATATATATATATATATATATATATATATATATATATATATATATATATATATATATATATATATATGAATAGCTGCAGAACTGTAGCTCTCTGCTTGAGAAAATTCGGACAGATAGAGCAGAGAGCTACAGATCCAAGCGTTGTAAAAACCTTCGATTTACGCCGACCTTTTTTCGTCGCTCATTATGGGTATTTTTTTGTGTATTTTATACTTCCCCAAGCTTTGGAAATAATTTTAAATGGTATTTAATAATTATTCATACATTCAACTTCAATTCCTGATCATTTAATTACTTACCTCTCAACGCTAACAAATGGCTGTTTGTGGTTACGGACGTCGAAATGGAACTCTTTAACCGACATTACAAAACTATATACAGGACTGTTTCGGACCGTTAAAAGGTAAACAAAGGTCAAATATAAGAGTTAAAATACGTGGACTGTTATAGGATACCATTCTAGAAGCATGAGAAAGATTAATCTACACGAAATAAATACCTAAAGTAGCGACAAAAAATCGTCGGCGTAAATCGAAGGTTTTTACAACGCTTGGATCTGTAGCTCTCTGCTTTATCTATCCGAATTTTCTCAAGCAGAGAGCTACAGTTCTGCAGCTAATATATGAAAGGTACTCATAATCAAAATTCGATTATCGTGTAGACTTGAAAATTGAAGAGTTGTGAATTACCTGCGTTTTCATCACAGCGCGAAAATATATATTCCGTAAAACAAGTTTACAACATGAAAGATATACACATTCGTTATAATTATATACTTAATGTCAACAGTTTTATATTCGGAACTACACATTTGGATGTTTGACATATCTATATGAAGAAAATGAAACTGATATCACTACAAATTTCAATTATTTGGATCTACAATTCAAAAAATCATGTTTACAAACATACAATTTGTACAAGCCTGGATTTATGAAGACGATTACCCTCATTACGAAAATTATTATTCTTGTCATTATGGGTATTTCCTGTGTGGACAGAGTGGTGGATCTGTGTGGTTTTTATGTCACGTCATATTAAAATAGCAGGTGCGTGCTTAAAAAGATAACAAGGAATAGATATGTAAAGTATGAAAGCTTAACCCTTCATATTAAAAGTTAAGGTCAAGTTTTTTTTTTAAGTAGGTCAAATACAGAAGGTCAAAAATCTTGTTATCCAATGAAATGTGTTGTCACAAGGAATAAATGTGTGACGTATGAAAGCCCTGGCTCTTACCATTCAAGTGTTTTTTTAAAGTGGGTCAAACTCCAAGGTCAAAGGGTTTAAGTGCTTGCTATCTAATGAAAGGTCTTGTAACATTACATATGTGAAGTATGAAATCCCAAGCCATAACTCTTCAAAAGTTATAGCCAAGGTTAATTTTTATAAAAAGTGGGCCAAACTCCAAGGTCAAGATCAGAAGTCAGAGTTCTCCAATGAAAGGACTTTTCACAAGGATTACATATGTGAAGTATGAAAGCTCTAATTCTTTCCGTTTTAAAGTTATGGCCAAAGTTTTTTTCCATGAGATGGAAATCTCCCAAGTCATTGTCAAAGTTGTTGCTATCAAATGAAAGGTATTGCCACAAAAAAAAACCTAGGTGAAATATTAAAAAGATAGTATTTACCACTCAAAAGTTATGGCCAAAGTGAAAATTAAAGATGTATGCGTAAAAAGTGGGTCAAACTCTATGGTCAAGTTCAAAATTGGTGGTACCTAAAGAAATGTCTTGTCACGAGGAACAAACCTGTGAAATATGAAACTCATAATTCCAGTAATTCAGAAGTTATGGGCAAGGTTTAAATTTTTGTGATGGACTGACAAACTGACGACTGAGATTTAATGTCACCACGCTTTTGGTTACGATGTTCCCTGCGCTAACAAATTTCGAGAAAACTCGCATATAGATCACAGTCAAGGTCACAAGGTCATTGACCTTGGTGTCTATTTAAAGAACTTAAGGAGGAATGCCACACCAAATTTTAATTTTATAGATCTATTAGTCAACCTTTTTAAACAAAGGTTTCAGCATTGAAAGGCCGATTTTAGCTCTTAATTTTTTATATGATTTTTTTGATATTTTTCCAAAGAAAATGGAAAAAATATGTATGAAAATAAAACATGTTATTTGTGAATATTTTTTAAACTTGTGGATAAAAATCTTTTGAAAACCAGTCATACATGTAACTGGGGAAAACATGTCTGTTAATCATATTTATAAAAGAAATTGAAACGAAATAGCCAAATTTTAAATAAATTAATCATTTAAACTTTGACCAAACTCGATCAAAATTTAACCGACTCCAACCATGAAAGTACAATTAATGGAAATAAATAACATTTCCCCAGCAACACTAATCTTATTAGGTGTAAAAAGGGTCAAAGATTATTGAGCTTGACAATCAAGTAGATTTCTTCATTGTAGCTACATGAAAGAGGCAATAAATTAGTATTTTATTCATTCTGTGTTAATTTTGATCGGGATCAGTTTTATTTTGATTGGGTTAGTCCAAATATTAAAAAAAAAATGATTCTCTAGAATTTCTCAATTTCTTTTCAATTTCATTTTAAAATATGATTAACAAACATGTTCTCCCTCGGTGCTTAAAAATATATCTAAATCCAGGAATCCATTTTTTGTTTGCGTCATCTCATTTTTCATCTGCCCTTAAGCCTTTGGTGCAGGTGACAAAGCTAAGTTTAATAGAAGTACAAGAGAAAAGAATGTCGTGTCTGTAATCCCAATATACATCCCAATTTGGCTTTGTTGTTCTTGAGAAGATTTTTTCATGTATATTCCTTTGTAAAATATTGTTAACTCATATATATTCACTACCTGTGGATGCTTTCATATCAAATGGGTCAAACATCAAGAAACTCGATTTTCACCAATATCTTAAAACATTCCAGAATATAAGGACCATAACTTTCATAAAAAATACAAACTTGAAATTGATGTGCAAGTCATCTTTATTAAATTAGCATATTATCTATATACATGTATAAAATCCAGAAAACTAATTACATATAATAGTATGTTGGAAAAATAGAATGACTAACAAAAATGGTTATCATTATAAGCCTATTCCTTTTTACGACAGGGTCATTTCTATGTTTAATTAGCACCATAAAATATGGCAAAAGTGAATGGTGAACTTAAAACATCTGCCATTTAATTAAAATCAGAAATCTTTTCAAAAGTTTAACTCTTTCACTCAATGATATTCATTCATTTCACTTTGAAGAAAAGTGGGAAAGATAAAGTTGGTTCAAGGGAGTTGTTCAACATCAACAGCCGTTTCCTTTTTTACTTTTCTTGAAAAACAGTTCTGAAAATAAATTGGACAGATTATTCACAAATAAAGCCGACATTTATTTGTTCGTTTTTTTTTTTTGTTTTGTTTTTGTCTGATTTCAAGTATTGTATTTGTTATATTATGTTTTTTTTTTAACTTATAACATTGGTGAATATTGGCATAAATTAGCAATACAAATGCATGAGCTTGCAATTGGTCAATACCAGGGATGGCATGGGAATTACAATGCATTTTTTATTGACAGGTAACAATTTACATTCAATATAGAACAAACTGAAAAACAATATAAAATTCATTATGTACGTTATAAAAAGTTTTCATTTGCAATAACGAAGGTTCACTTTTGCCTTTTCTGGCCCTGTGAATATCTGACCCCCCCTTTCTAGATCCGCCAATGAGAATCACTTATAATGTAGATGTCTTATATGCAAATAGAGGTTACAGTATCATAAATATTTTTTGCGATTTTTAAAACTTTTTTCTCGTATCCAGGTAAAACATTTTATTTCGAGTATATTAATAAAAGAACTATTTATTATATAAATAAAAAAAACATGCCAAAGTTCAAAAAGGGTCATAACTATGGTTTCAAACCTCAAAATGTGCCCCATAATAAGGGAGTGAAAATTTTACCTGCACGGTACAACAGACTGTCCCAGCAGATGCATCAGATGGTTTCAGAAACTCCTATAGCTGCGGAAGGGCAGGAAATGCTCGTGCGGCGCATGTGCCACTATCTCCTTAGGCCGAAGGGACCGAAAGTTGAAAGCCCTCCAAAGTGCCTAAATACAAATGAATCAGAACAGTAAGTCAAATTTTGTATAAAACATTTATAATTGAGCAATAGTTCATAAAAATTCTAACAAATCAAGTCTTACTTACCTTTCATATAACTAAATATGGGAAAAAATGGACAATACTAGGGTAGGATACATATTACATACTATTACAAGTAAATAAATGTAAATTAATACATGCAAAGTAAAATGTAATACATGCAGTTGAAAGTCATATAGGTACATAAGAAAAGAAATCAGAAGCATTCATTTCAAAGAATTAAATTTATATGATGTTAAAATTTCTTATGTCTTGTCAGACAGTCTAAGGGAAGTAACTCTAATATGTGCTCTCATGTACTGAAAACTTCCATCTGTCTCAAGCAAATGAAAAATGGTATATTTAGGCTATGTAAATTTAATTCCTTGGTTCTCAGGCCAACTTTCTCCAAAACAGATGCGGGAGGGCGGCATTTTATTTTTCATTTAAATGGCAAAAAATTAGATGAGGGAGGTATTTTTTTAATTTTTAATTTCCGAATTTTCTTAAACATAAAGATAATTTTTTAAATTACAGATATACTTTCCATTTCTGGTCAAAATTACTGCTTTATCCATTGCTTAACAACGTAAATATCGTAGGTAATGTCCTTGAATGTATTTTCAAGCGAAGGAGCCAAAATCTCATTGTAAATTGCTACCGGAAGTGATATTTGAATACTAAACTACAAAACAAATGAGGTCGGAAATTATTTTCCCGGATTGGTCTCCGCAATATCAACTTTTTATTTTATCAAAAAAACAATAAAATCAGCAATGCGGTTACCTCAAAACAGATGCGGGCGGGCCTGAGAACCAAGATTTCAATTTTATTTGGCCTTACTAAGATTGGCTAATCAAAATTCCTATTTACTGCTACACCTTGAGAAAACAGCCGAGATCTGGAATGAGGTGATCTCTCTCCACCTGCAAGGGAATACGGGGTGCGATGGAACGCTTGAGTGAGATCTGGCATTTGATGAGAGGCGTGGTCTGGGAAGCCGGATGGGCCTTCAATGTACCAAGTGTCTATATGTATCAAGGCGGTACAATCTGTATGAGGAGGTAGAGACCAAATCCCCAGGTAGGAAAGCTGCCACTGTTAACTATGTGCTTCAAGTTGGCCTTAGTCAAACCCCTATAGGCAATGATGGAATGAGGAAAATCTTTCCTTCTACCAACACTCCCCCTCCTACGAGAAAGTCTCTACAAAAGACATCAAACAAAATTATGCCAATTATTGGAAACCTTAACGAGGCTGACATGAGTAACCGGCTGGTGGATGTCAACACTCTAAGGGGAAGTGGCTCCCCACATGCCATCCCTGTACAGTGCGATGGCATGTACAATAACCCCTTGTACTCGGGGGTGGGTGAGACACCCTTCCAGTCAGCGACACAGACTGTATACTCATTTGCCGAGAATGTCACAACAAGACATCAGATGATAAAAAAAAAATTTGTTCAAAGCATGGACACTTACTTGATGAGGGCACTTCAAACCATCAGTGTAGTCCTGGGGGGTGTGTGGGGCAAATCTACCCATGCACCATACCATTCAGGATGACTTCACTTGGACTCGGGAGGGGATGGCGGAACTCCTCTGCAAAGATGGACTCAAGGTAATCATTGACATGGACAGCTCTGTTGGTTGAGCTGCAGATTCCCTCTATAAGGACAATCTGCTGCAAAATATCCCAGTTCACTATATTGACACTCGACACTTGTCCAAGTCAATCAGAAAGTCAATTAAAAGAGATCAGAAACTTTCAGAGGTTATGCCAAAGAGAACCAATTAAAGCAGAAAAACACCAAACTTTTGCATAATTTTGCCCTAGATGCTGTTGACAGATGTACAGCTGAGATTAATCAAGCTCATGCAGTACATATGCTGGAGATGCAGATAAATTAAAAAACAAGCTCTCATATGCCAAACTTGCAATTGTGAAATGTTACATGGGAGACCATGCATCATGCAGAAAACATTCTCTGGTGTGCAAAGGGAAAGTAATAAATAACTGGGTTAGCAAGATTTCTTATTTAGGTCAAGGTTTTACAATACCGTCTTCCACGGAAAATGAGGCAAGGCTCCATGCCTGCATCTCTAAGAGGTTGTCTCCAGCTGTACTGGACAGGACGATCAAAAACACCAACTCGCAAAAGGTTGAAAGCTTCAACAGAACTCTGCGACGATCCCTGCCTTGAAATGTTACTTTCACAAGAAACTTTGCTGGTCGGACCCACAGTGCAGCTCACTCATCAAATCATGGTCTGGGCAGCCCACTCCAAAGTCTCTGTGCAGGGGTTGGTGTCCCCATCCCCACTGGTGGCCAAGTGGACCAGACCCTGAATATAATAAAAAAATGAGCATGAATAAAATAAATCGTATCAGAAAACTCAATCGTATAAAACAAAAAGGGTAATTAAACGTAAGATATTATATAAACTTTAAGAAGAACATCAGGAAGAAGTAAAATACAAGAAAAACATGATGTTAGCTGAATGCCCGAGGCAATAAGAGAAATCCCCCTGAACACAATTATTCGAAAACAGGAAATAAACAAGTTGATATTCAAAAAATATATTTTAAATTACTATAAAAAATGCATTTAAGGTGGTGAGCCCCACAACAAAACCCCTGGTCCTTGCAGTGGATCCTCTCCTGGTTAGTTGCATGCGGCTCCAGAGTAAGGTGCATCGGGTCGATGCATAACTTCTCATGGCAGAGATAACTGACCTCCAGGCCTGCAAGTGCAAACTGCGACCTAGTCTGTCTCTTCTCTTCCATAAGAGCTACCTGATGCATCCTCTCGACTGTACTGCCCTCCTCCGGCCAATTTACCCTCATCTTCCAATACCCATTTCTAGCCCTCCCCCTTGTCCAAAGCCAGCAACCCCCAACCTTTTCACTTAATGAGGCTAATTTCTCCTTCAGGGTCTCAAATATATCTGGCATTATTCTTAGCTTACTCGATAGGGAAAAGAGTACCAATTAATTTCCTACAGAACTCAATACAAATCTTAGGCCCTCTGAGTACTTACCTATTGTAATTTCAGACATATCCTTGGTATCATTGGAAAAATTTTTCTTTGCACTTACAAAATATACTGAAAACAAGAGGCCCAGGGGCCACAGCGCTCACCTGAGCACATCAGCTAGGAAAAAACACATATCAGATCAGAACTGAAAGTTAATTTAAATTGGGGGGGGGGTGAATTTTAACCCCCAAGGGGATCATAATTTGAACGAACTAGAATCTACATTACCCGAGGATGATTCCATACAAATATTACTAATCCTGGCTTTGAAGTACTTGAAAAGAAGATTTAAAAGGGTTTCCCTATATATTTCTATGTAAAACTTTCGTCAGCTATTTTTGCCACACCCTTACCCCGGGGTCATGACTTGAACAAACTTGAATCTACACTACCTGAGGATAATTTCACATGAGTTTCATCTTTCCTGTTTTAATGGTTCTTGAAAAGATTTTTCCTATATATTCCTATGTAAAACTTTGATCGGCCATTTTGGCTCCGCCCTACCCCCGCGGGTCATGACTTGAACAAACTTGAATCTACACTACCTGAGGATGATTCAACATGAGTTTCATCTTTCCTGGCCCAGTGCTTCTTGAGAAGAAGATTTCTAAAGATTTTTCCTATATATTCCTATGTAAAACTTTGAACAGCCATTTTGGCCCCGCCCTACCCCCGGGGGCCATGACTTGAACAAACTTGAATCTACACTACCTGAGGATGATTCCACATGAGTTTCATTTTTCCTGGCCCAGTGGTTCTTGAGAAGAAGATTTTTAAAAGATTTTTCCTATATATTCCTATGTAAAACTTTGATCGGCCATTTTAGCCCCGCCCCACCCCCGGGGGTCATGACTTGAACAAACTTGAATCTACTCTACCTGAGGATGATTCCACACGAGTTTCATCTTTCCTGTTTCAATGGTTCTTGAGAAGATTTTTAAAAGATTTTTCCTATATATTCCTATGTAAAACTTTGATCGTCCATTTTGGCTCCACCCTACCCCCGGGGGTCATGACTTGAACAAACTTGAATCTACTCTACTGAGGATGATTCCACATGAGTTTCATCTTTCCTGTTTCAATGGTTCTTGAGAAGATTTGTAAAAGATTTTTCCTATATATTCCTATACAAACTTTGAACGGCCATTTTGGCCCCGCCCTACCCCCCGGGGCCATGACTTGAACAAACTTGAATCTACTCTACCTGAGGATGATTCCACATGAGTTTCATTCTTCCTGGCCCAGTGGTTCTTGAGAAGAAGATTTTTAAAAGATTTTTCCTATATATTCCTATGTAAAACTTTGATCGGCCATTTTAGCCCCGCCCTACCCCCGGGGGTCATGACTTGAACAAACTTGAATCTACTCTACCCGAGGATGATTCCACACGAGTTTCATCTTTCCTGGCCCAGTGGTTCTTGAAAAGAAGATTTTGTTAAAATGCCATTAATTTTTTTAAAAATCATGATTATCTCCCCTTAGAAAAGGGCGTGGCCCTTCATTTGAACAAACTTGAATCCCCTTCACCCAAAAATACTTTGTGCCAAGTTTGGTTGAAATCGGCCCAGTGGTTCTTGAGAAGAAGATGAAAATGTGAAAAGTTTACGACAACGACAACGACGACGACAAAGACAACAACAGACGACGGACAAATTTTGATCAGAAAAGCTCACTTGAGCCTTCGGCTCAGGTGAGCTAAAAATATAGGGTCCCATGGCGTTTATAGGTCAAAATGGCCCTTTTCTGCAACTTTGAGAGATCGGCAGTAAATAACATGTTATGTCAAAAATCAATCCCCACTCCTAAAACTTCCCCTGGCTTTTCTATACTTTCTATAATATTTCCCCATTCCATCATTCATTTCAAACATTAATATTTTTACTTTAAAATTAAGATAATTACTTACCTGAATTTAGCCAATCAGATAATGCCTACCCATTCAGTACTCGACTCTACATGCGCCACAAATAAAGCCATGTGCACATCCAAGGTTTGGTACTCTCACTCCTATACTCACATTGTTACCTACCTTGGAATTAGTCAATTTAGTAATTTTTAAAGACTTTAAGCTTACCCGAGTACATGTATGAAATTTGAGTCCTGCAACCTCAGCGTCTTGGGTACTGTGACCTTCTGAACTGATGACACCCTACTGCGGCCAACTGTGTTAGACTAAGATAATTACTTACCTGAATTCAGCCAATCAGATGATGCCTACCCATTCAGTACTCAACTCTACATGTGCACATCAGAGGATTTGGTACTCTTATTGAAAGAAAGCAAAGAACCAAAGATCCATAGCTACCTTACAGACGATTCGGCCTACTCAAGTATTAAAAGAAAATCACTTGTTTCTACTTATAGATTATACACAAAGCTTTTCAATTCAAAATCAAACTCCATGTATGTAATCATTTGTGAACCAGTGTTATATTTTCAAAGTTGCAAGTTTGTTGCATGACAGTAATTTTACTTGCTCTAAACAAGATTGTTTGAAATTTTAAAAATAATACAGGCTAACAGCTATGACTTTGGGTTATTAAAATAGTTTAAGACTGTTTTCCCCAAGATACTTTCAATATGCAATGTTGTATTATATATCTCTTTTAAAAATTATTTATACATGTATTTATAAAATGAAAGAAAACATAGGAAAATGCACACAGAGAAAAAAAAATCATAATTAAGTAACACGCACTGTGAGACTCGAACTCAAGATTGTTATGTCATCAATCCAGCATTTTTTTTTTTTATCTTTTATGCAATGTTGTATTATACATATCTTAAAAATTATTTAAACATGTATTTATTAAATAAAAGAAAACAAAGGAAAATGAACACAGAGAAAAAAAAATGAAATCGTAATTAAGTAACGTGCACTGTGAGACTCGAACTCACGATCGTTATGTCTTCAGTCCAGCAATCATACCACCACGCCAGGAAGTCTTGATAACCAAATGGATAAAATTGAGACAGATGTGTTTTTCTGGTTAAGGGTGGTCTTTTCCTACAGTTTGTCATTGTTTAGGGGGGTACCTCAGTATTTACTACATTCTCCATATAAACTGAACAATTTTTATAACTATTATATTAGGGAACTATTAATAATTGAGTATTATTTTTGTGTGAGTTGCTTTAAAGCATGTATAAACTAACATTGTATGACAAAATTTTGGTTAAGGAAAGTATTTAAAAAATCACTACTAGAGTAGGCGAAAGTGACTATCAAATGAGCTATGGCTCTTTGATCTTAAATGGGCGACCAAAAAAAAAGTTATTGGGAAAAGCCAGAAAATTTGTGGAAGGAAGAATGACAGACAGACAGACAGAGTGATTACTATAGGGCACCCACAAATCCTTGCGGTGTCTTAATTAAAATTGAAAATTCTGTAAATTTTATTAAAAACTACTCCTTTAGTTGCAATCTTATTGCAATATGTATATTGCCAGAAAAAAGTGACTTAATCAAGGATTATTATTCTAATTGCTGTTTTAATGTTTGAAGAACAAACTGCTACTTTTCTCTTAGTTTGTTATAAGTATAAACCAGTAAAGCTACAGTCTCAACAGACACTTATGTCTCAACAGACACTTTGTAAGTAGGGCAACCTGTTCAATTTTTTGTGTAGTAAATCATCAAAAAGTGGTGTAATGAGCCTCCTTTCACATGTATGTTTGATGAAATATTTAATAAAATTTTCCTTTTCAGTTAAATATCTTTATCATGTTTATATCTTGCAAATAAACCCTCTCGAAATACTACACTGTACTACATGTTAGACATTCATCAAAACTTTATGTTGATATATTACCTTCAATTTGTAGATGTTTTCTATCTTCAAAACATGTAGACTTTACTGCATGGAAGTCTGATCATTGAAAATGGATGTGGAATCTAATCTTGATCTCAACGAAGATTTCTAAACACAAAAAAAAAACACAATCATTACCAACATATGATACATGTTATCACATAATTTCAACACTATACTCTTCTTTAACAAAAAATTTGCTTTGTATTTATTACTGATAAATTATTTATACTAATTTATATTACCGGTAATTAAATCATTCCAATAATGTCACGTTCTTTCAACCAATGAAAAGGTACCAAATAATTTTTTCATTGATTATAAAAAAGAGCTTAACTTATTATGAGGACCAGTGACTTTGAAATTAAGATTACTAGTATATGTGATAATAAACTAAATCCATTTTTCATCCAGGAAGATGACAGATAATTCCCGTTCAAAATAATGTCAACTCAAAATTAGTCTGAATCTTTATTTTTTTGAGTTCTCACATGAATTTCTATAGCTTCATGATAACTGAAAAACAACGATTTTTTGTGCACACAGGCTTCCAGAGAACCAGTAACATATACATGATCTAAAGTTGTTCCACCCTCTGTTGTGTAAAACTGCACCAACTGCATAAATCCCATAGATTCTAAGAATGTTTGTATGGGTCCTTGGGCTTTGGCATCTTCATTCATGTCACCAATAATGAACAAGTTGCTAAAACGCTTCTTGTAAAAATCCACCACTTTTTGCAATGTGTCAAGAAAATTGTTTACAGGTAGTACACTCGGTCGGTAGAGTACAATGATTGCAATATCCTCCTCATGGATTTCTACAGTTAATCCCTCTATATTCTTGTATTCCAAAGCATTGATCAAGATTGTCTCATTGGTTTTCTTCTTGTACACTCCAACCCCACCACCTTTAGCTGTTTTTAGTCTTGTCATCACATCTTCACTATCATCGTAACACTGGCTACGTGGAATATGGTGAAAGTCAAACCCTGAAATTTCAATATCTCGGATGTTCTCATTTTCTCTCAGCCATGTTTCTGTTAAACATACAAAATCAGCTTTCATCAACCTGCTGTCACAATTCATCTCCTGAAAGTGTCCTCTCAAACTCTGCACATTAAACAATAGAATTGTTTTGTAATTTTCAAACTTTGCTACATTGCATGTCAATTCTTCATCTAAATTGTATCTTACCATTCTATTAAGTGCTAACTTCACATCTAAATCAGCATAAATTTTTTTCTGCAGGACACTTTCATCATTCATCTCAATGAACAGACCATCTTTTGAAGTAACACGGCTGACTGCTACATATGCTTGACCAGGAGAGAAAGTCCGATCTAAGTTCACAACAACACTCTTGGCGGTCATGCCTTGAACTTTATGTGCTGTGCATGCCCATGACAGTTTCAGTGGAAATTGATGTCTGACAATACTCTTTATATTTTTCTCATTCATCTCTTCCTCCACTCTTTTAATTGGGACAATATTCCCTTTGGGTGTTTTCTTCCCTTGTATTTTACCAATACTTGAACTATCAAAAATGACTTCAACTACTTCTACTGCTGGTGCAGGCTGTTTTCTTTTAAACACAAAATTTGAAATATATCCCATTGCACCATTCACTAGTCCATCTTCAACACATACATTTCGTGTCAGCATTACTCTTGCATTCACAGCCAAAAGTAAGGTAGCAGAGAGGCCATCAACTCGGGTACTAACCAAAGGTTTGTCACGTAAAGTTAATTTCCCCGTTGTCTTATCTTTCTGATAATCATCTGCATGCACTTCAATTAATTCCTCACAATTCCCATGCAGCATTTTAAGATTGAATTCATTGGCCTCTTGGTTAGTAGAATAAACATGAAGAACATCATCTGGTCCTTCTCTGATGCATTCCCGCAGTGTTTCCAATGCTTCATCTGATAAAGGTTCTTCACATGTTCGAACACGCAATGAATTCAGAACAGTTGCAAATGCTTTATCTTCACGTTGTCGCATAATTTCATCTAATTCTACAATTTTAAAAAAATCTAGCCAGAAGTCAACTGGATATGAACCATTTTCTTTGTACAATCTTTCATCTTTTCGTTGTTTAACAGGTGGAAGTTGATAAAAATCTCCAACTGCTATCACAGATACACCACCAAATGGATCTTTACATTTTTTGATTTGGACAAGTCGTTCATGAATGTAATACAACAATCTTTTGTACACCATGGAAACCTCATCAATGACCAAAATCTGCAAATGTTCTAATCTCGTTCTTATCCCACTCAAACTTTGTTCCTTCAAGGGTTGATATGGAATTGGTAAAGCTTTTGTTAAAGAAAACACATGATGAATGGTATTTCCTCCAATATTGAATGCTGCTGTTCCTGTAAAAGCTGTGAGAATCACCGATACTGCATTTGGAGAAGGCAATGATTTTTCAAAGAGACGAGAAGCTTCATAGTGTATTGTCTTAATCAGATGGCTTTTCCCTGTCCCTGCTCCTCCAGTTATAAAAATGTGCATAGGTTTTACATTCTCTCCAGTCATTTTCTTGACACACCATTCATGAACAGCATAAAAGATGAGCTTCTGTTTGTCATTCAAACTGCACAGTAAAGGAAGCATCTCTTTTCTGGTGCTTTGAGTCTCTCTTAAATGATATATAGCATCATCAGAGCCACTACACTCAATTTCATTTGTGACCTCTGATTCTGTATTCTCCTGATCATTTCTTAATTTTTCATTCAAACATTCTCTTCGATTTAATTCTGTTTCTGGACATAAACTTGCCCATGCGTCCTCTGGTTCACCAAGCATTTCTAATGCATCCTGGGCATTTTCAATATCATCCTCACTTTTTGAGAAGTAAACATGATTACTGTCCACTATGCTTTTAACTTTTTCCAAGTTTGTGTTTGGTTTCACCCTCACATGTCCACTCTCATAAAATGTCTGGTACAAATCAAATCCAGCTGGTCTCAACTGATTCAGATTCCAGTATGGAAGGAAAAGTTGTAGCAGACACTGATAATATTTCTCAGGTGCGTTATCTCGATGGAATCTTGGATATCGTATTACAGCAGGTTTGCCTCTACTTCTCTTTTGAATGTAACCCTTTCCATTTCTCAATTCATACACACCATCTTTTTTGCCCGTAGGGATCTGAGATTTACTAAGCACTCTGTACTCTGAGCAAAATTCAGCAAGACACATTTTATGGAAAATATTTAACTCTGGGCGGTTTTCATACCTTTCCACAATATTTGTCATCCACATACTATCTTCTTCCTCATCATTGTCATCTGCATTTAAATCATTTTCATCAACCTCAATTTCCCGATTTTTTTTTATTTGTGCAAGAGGCTTACTCAGACGAGTTGGATTTTCCCCCACAGGAATGAAAATGACTTTTCTTGAACTTTCTTTCATCTTCAGATTGCACACCCTGTATACTGCTTCCTGTGCACTGACCTCTCTGTGATTGAGATAAGCTGATCCTACTCTCTTGATGGTATCATGTGCACTCAAATTTCCCTCTGCTGCTTCAAGTTGAGTTTGTTTTAATAGCATTCCCATCTCCCTTTCAGACTTTGAAATGTATGATATAATGTAGACAATGCAGCTGAAAGGGTCTAATACATACTGTATATCCATATTTGCATCCCAGCTTTTGAGCAGGCATGGGTTGTACTGATTTGTCCACATTTCTGTTGGATTTCGTTTCAAAACAGTCAATGTTTTAGAGGCCAATACTCTGTGTGCTTTTTCATACAAATCCTGTGATAAGTTTATATTGCTGAATATTTCCTCTGTTGTTTTAAATGCCTTTGCATCATCCATTACTTCATTCCACACCTTCAACAAAATCTCCTTTGCCTGCACACTACCTAACTCACTACTTGACTC